ATTGCTTGCGACCAGGCCACCACAATGCGGGCATGCGTACTCATGCTGTTTCTTTGCTTGGACTTCACGGTGCAACTTCTCGTCGCTGGCCGGCGTCTCCGTCTTGCGTTTCTTTTGTGTCCTTTCTGTTGTTTCTCCTTGTCTCGCCGTAATCTCGGCCCATGTCTCCGCCACCAGCCTCCGGCGACGCTCGAGCTCGGACCCGCTGGCCGTAGCATCGGCGGGGAGCGCCGGCAATCGATCGTGGACACGGTTCTGTGCGGCGCGGGCGCGGAGGCGCGCGAGTCTATGATTGGCGCGGCCGGCATAGCGACAGGCCACTTGCAAAGCTTTGCAACCGTTACAAATTTGCCGGCCATCCTGCCCCGCAGTTCGTTTGGCCAGCCACGTGCTAAACTGGGAGGGTTCTTTACGTACGTAACAAGTGTGGCACTGCCACCAACCGCGTTGCTTGCGTGCACATGCGCGACAAACTCTTCGGTCCACATGGCGCGCTTTCCAGGCTGCCGTGCCAAAGGCAGCTTCCGCTTGCCGCACGCCGCAGTTGGCGCATTCTTTGCGCACCTCGCATGTCAGGCACACGCGATAATACGTACACAGTGGTCGATGGTACTTCTTCGGGAAATTTGCCTCTGCGTGCCAGACTTTACAATTATTACACTGCCATGGGGTGCCAGACGTGGCTTTGTCTTGGACGCATTCTCGACAGACACGTTCGTCATCGTTGCGTTTCCATTGGCCTCTGGTATATAGGCGTCTTTTTGTTTGCGTTCTCGGCAGATGCAGCATCCGCGCTCTTCGCAGTACGCGTCCAGCAGCGCGCGCCAATTCACACTTTCCCCACGGAGTACTTGCAGGAGCAGCTCACGACCGATACCGACCCCGCGCTGGAAGAGCTTCGCGTGAAATGGCCGAAACAGCAGAAGTTTGTCTCGGCCTGGCACCCGTGTGAAGGCAACATATGCTGTGAAAGGGTTTCCGCTCAGGCCAATGTTTAGGTCCGTTGTGACCCCTTCTGACACCGTTTGTCCTTGCGCAACGTGAGCGGTGATCGCAAAGCCCGGTGCTAGCGGAAACTGGGCGCGCCACACGCGCAGCTGCGGGTATTTCTTCTGCCGATCTAGGAACCACACTCTTTTGCAGGTTGGCACTGGGTACACATTGGCTTCGGGCAGCCCCGTGAGATGCCATGTCGCCGTAGTTTGAAATCTGACATACACGATCTCCGGCAATGTGTTCCACAGTGTCACACCATCTCCGACGACCGCATCTCTGGCAGACGACCAGCCGACAACTGTTCCCTTGCATCCTTTCAGAATGCCCCGTTGCCGGTCTAAGTGGTCCGTGGCACGCACGGGCAAGCCGATACAGAGCGGTAGAACTCCGTACAGGCCACCACATTCTTGGTCATGGCGCTGCAGCCACTGCAACTTTTCGGTCGCTAAGTCCGGTTTGTCTTGCAAAACAGTTGCAGAAGCCACATCTCGCGCCACCGCGATGTGAGGCATTTGCTTCTGTTCTATGGCCCAGCGCACGGCGCGACGTTTGTTTACGTTTGATATCGTTGGTCGCAAAGATTGCAGTCGCTTCTGCAAAATCCTGGTAGAAGCGCGGGTCGTTGGCGCAAGCGACCAAGTGCCTGGACGCACGCTCTTTGCGGCAAGTGACACATTCGCGTTGGCGGATCTCCTCTGGACTTTTGCCAACCAGGGCTCCACAGAGACTTCTGCAGCATGCTGGGGCTCCTTTCGTCCAGCTTCCCGGCACGCTGGTTCCATGTCCGTGTAGAAACGCACGGTTGTCCTGCGACAGCGCTCCGTACCGCAGCTGTTCCTGCACTTCGGTCAACCATGTGTCGGCGGTCCGCTCGCAGCGTACGAGTTCAGTGACACCTTGCATGCCCACTGCCGGTCCGCCCCACAGCAACGTCTGACCGTGCAATCCTGTACTTTGTTTTGTTCGCCTCTGTCCGGTCAACCAGTCCCACGGCACATCCCCCAAAAAGGTTCCTTTCGGGGGGGGGCAGTTGATACAAATCGCCGGCCAAAATCACGTTCAGGCCACCGAACGCTTCCACGGCGCCGTCGTCCCGGAACTTAGCCAGGCTGAGATCGCGCATGATTTCGCGACATCGCTGCTCCAATTGCGCGAGCAGTTCTGCACTCACCATGCTGAACTCATCTAAAATCAACCAGCGCCATTGCAAGGTTTCTTGTGTGCGAAGCAGTGTGCGTAAATGACTTTGCTCCTTCTCTCCCGCACTGCTAATTCGAGCAAAGAACTTGTCAACGTGGACAGGTCTTAGAACGGTGGAGGCGGGTTGCCACGGATTCCCCTGAAGCTTGTTTGATAATAGTAGGGCCCAAGCGCTTTGGTGACGTGCATGTTGCCCTGGTCGTGAGCTTTGTGGTGTTCGATCTTGTCGGGGTTTCGCATTGCTATTTTTGTATTAGGGACTTCGCGCTGGGGTGCCGCCAGGGTCTCCAGTTGGCATCCACCAGTGCTACCCTGTGACCACCGGCCACGCAAAATGTCACCCACACAGGTAATCATATATATTGTTATCCTTGTGTGTTGGTTGTGTTTGAGCGTTGTGGCTGTGTGTTTGTGACTTGTGATTGTAGCTGTGTGTTTGTGATTGTGTTTCTAGTTGTGTTTGTGATCGTGGCTGTGGTTGCGTTTGTGCTTGAGTTCGTGGTTCGTTTGTTTGTGCTTCTGTATCGTGGCTGTGCTTCGTTGGTTCTGTACTCTGTTTTGTTTTTGTGGCTGCATGTTGTGCGTTTTGGCTGGCGGTTGAACACGACGCGCACGAGGAGGAGGACGAAGCGGAGGAGAAGGAGAAGAAAGGCAGCTCGCATAAAATCTAACAACCCTCACCTGACAAGTACGGCAAAAGACTCCTCCACCCGAACAAGTCTACGATTCGTCGCCGGTACCAACCCCAAGGAACTCAGTTGAGTCTAGTTCACCTTCGTGACCTTACGTGGGTTTCATGTCATCTGGAAATGGAGTAAATAAGACAGTGCTTGTGCAGCACGTCCCACTTATTCAGCGGGCGTCTTATTTACTCCATTTCCAGATGACATGAAACCACGACCCTTCTCCCCCTCGCTGGGGTCGGCGGCACGGGGCGTAGCCCTTACAATTTATAAAGCAGGACCCAACCTACAATACCAATGTTACTACACTCCAACGCTATGAGACAGGTAGATTGTGTGCAATGCCATGTACTATGAATGCGTTTGCCACGCAACTCCATTGGGGCATTGCAAGCGTTGCGAACTGTTGTTTCGTTCTTCTCCTCTCCTCACGTTGCATCTCAATGCTAATGTGTCGCATCCTTAAACCACAGTCATGTCATTTCATGTCTGCGTTGGAAGGCAAAGTCTCTTCCATTGCAACCTTGCAAAGAAGCGACACAATGAGTCATGAGGCATTGCAGCTGCTCAAGTCCAGCCCCCGGCGGCGGATCTTGTTTGAAGATTTCATCCTGGCAAAATGCTGAAAACAACTGAACCTGCACGTCTGCAACAACATATACGGTCGACATGACATTCCACACTTTATAATTACAACTCTCCTTCTAGTGTGTACTTCAATTGGGTTGCTCCTTTTACATGTTTTGACTGTATTCTAAAACCTCATCACCCTCATTGCACATCGCCCGTTTTGCTTGGACTTCACTTCAGCTCTGCGCTTGTGCATCGGGCATGGTTGGACACCCATGGTGCGCAAACATCCACGTCGCAAACGTCGTGTCTTCTGCAAACGTCGGGGGGGTCTCAGGCAGACGCATCACTCCAGAGTCGAGGCAAAGCGGTTTCAGGTTGAGCAACTTGAGCGTAGACCCAGCAACGTCTGCTTCTGCACCACTTGACGCAGGCAGGCCGTGGGAGGCCATGAGGCGGTGTTTCTGTCACACTTTCTTTTTTCTCATCCTTTCTTCAAGAACTTTGCCTTCTCTTCAAGTTGCACACTTGTTTCATCATAGAATGTCCGCTTCCATTCCTTGTCATTGCGCATTGCCATGATGATCAAGTTCCTGTCAGCAGGCACTTGTCGTTGAGATGAAAGGTTTGATTTATTTCAGTGGCTCGAAGGACGTACAGTAAAGACCACATTGCGTGTATAGTTGAAAAGATTCTGCAAAATGCACTCCCACTCCCCACATATCTTGAACACAGAATATATGGCAACATTGCCTCAGAATAGGCTTACTGGCTGTAGAAAACCAGCATCCCTCGTGCAAGTGTTCATTTATACACATACATACATACCTAATTCTATATTGTGAAGGGGGTTCCTTGTGACAAACACATAACCCTTTTGAATTGTCTTAGGTCTTAGGTCTTAGGTCGTGATTTCGACTTCCATTGTCTTTCCTATCTCCAAGAGTCCAACGACTCCCAGACTTCAGTGGCTGCACTGCATGCCAGCGATCTCCCGGATGCAGGACGGCTGTACCAACAGCTCGGTGATGATACTCTGTGATGCCACCCTGCAGCCGGAACGCGACAAACCAAGCAGAAAGTGAGGCCTGAATGATCACTGAGCCCAGAAAAAGGTGCAAATGGCGGGCATGAAGTGCATGAGGGAACATGAAGCATCAGCTATACTCAGCTAGACCTGGTGAGCATCCGACGTTTTGGCCTTGTAGACACCAGGTTCCAAGCGTGGAGTGCCTGCAGCGACATCCTCGGGGGTGGGTTCCAGCAAAAGTAGCTCCGCGCCCTCAAAGCCTGGGATGCCCAGAAACCTCGCAGATGCGGCAGATGTTTCAAAGGTGGTGTGAAAGATCCTGCCCTCCGATGATTTGTTTTATCAAGTGCTTGCTTGTTCCTGTAAAGGCATCGTTTCTGCTTTCGACAGTGCGCTCGGTGCTTTCAGTCCAGGATAAACACATATTATACATGAAGAAGAAAACTCGTTGCTCGTGACAGCTCTTCCCAGAAGTTGGAAGAGGCTTTGCTTCAAATGGATCCTCTCACCCTTGCACGCAACACATACAACCAAGGAGCACATTCACCGTAAGATCAGAATCATCAGTGTGAGCTTTCAGTGAAAGATCTCTGTCCTCCTCTTCAGCATTCATTCTTTCACACAAAGGTCCAGCTGACAATACAATAGTCTTATGTGTTCCATCAAAGGTCCACAGACGGGAAAGATCTCTCATTGCATGATATGACATGTAGGGTAAAACATTGAATTCTCTCATGTTGGGTGGTGGGTCTCGTTTCAGGGGTGAAGACACATGTGCACGAATTGTGCGGCCTCGTAGTTGATGCAATACGCTTGATGGTATGCAATCTGGTGCGTCTCTGATGGGATCAAGGCGTGGTCAATCTGCGTTAAGACCTCCTTAGATTCTCAGGAGACAAGTAAAGGGCCAATGAATTGCGCACGTGAATGCCAGCAGTATTGGGATCAGCTGGTCGGGTGCCTATGATATCTTCTTACCACGGAACTCTTGCCAAGGATCTTGGAGCAGCTGGTCGAAAAGGACTTTGAAGCCAGGATTGATTTGGTAGAGGTACCATCTGGAGCTCAATAGAAGCCCTGGGATTAAACGCTGCTTTCACTGCAAGAGGGCTAGCTAGCGAACTAACTAGGGTACGACGCTCGGAGGCGCCTGAGGGCTAGCTAGCAAGAATTCTCCACCTATATTTCAATATTCCGAAAATGTGCCTGTTCAAAAAGGGTAGATGTGTGTCGTGCTCGCTGCTGTCCCTGTTGCCCTGCGCCTGGCGAGATCTCTCCTTCACCTTCCACTCTCTGTCGGAAATACTGGACTTCCTCCCGCAGTTGCTGGCAGAAGTTGGGGCAAAGCAGCGGCAAGGAGAAGACATCCTCTAAGTGGCACTCAGCTAATCCTTCAAGTTGCAGAGCTCGGACTTGAAACCAGGAGTCTTTGGGTTTGGGGGTTTCTAGACAGATTGCAAGGTAGCTGTGCATATGTTGACCCAGATGCGAGGCGGTGCAAAACCTGTTGATGCGAGGCGAGAAAACCTTCAATCATCTTGACTCAGTGTTAGAAGCTGCAGATTGCTTGTCTCAAGAAGATCAAGAAGGGAGCTCACTTCCCCCCGACAAACTTCCCGTGTTCAAGTTTAAAGCGAAAAAAACTGTTTCTGAAGACATGAATGACCTTGCTCTGCTAACTTCCCAGGAAGACAAAGCGATCATATCAAACGCAGTTGAGGCACGTTGTATTGCAGCCTCGACTAGATGTTGCTGCAAGCACTAGCAAATAGTGGAGATGTTTCAGATTATCTCAGAGTAATCGAAAGGCTAGACTTTAATATGTTTCTGACTAAACTTGGTCCTGCTGTTCATGTTGACCAGATTCGCCATGCCTCTTGCTATCCAGCGTTCTCCCGCAATTCCTCCTTTGATGTTATTTCAATAGGGTGGGGGTTGGACTGGGTGAACTTGTTTTAGGTTAGTCATCAACAGGTTCAGCCCATTGAGGCCTCAGCTCGACTTCCTCTTTGTCTGTGTTCAGCCCTGCGCCGCGCCGCGCCGCGCCGCGCTGCGGCCTTCGGATCGTATTCACTCAATGCAGCCCTCATCTCTGGCGCCAAGGCTGCTGAAAGGGGCATTGAAGCCAAGTGCGGATGCCTTGTGCAAGGTGCATCACTACTGTAACAAGGGCATCGCTACTGGCAAGAAGCTACTAGATTCCTTCAGATCAACCGCACACATGGAATCACATACCACAAACTCCATGTAATGATATCTCGCGTGGTGGGAAATAGCCGTCTGGAACAAAACTAATCCCCTTCTGGCTCCCTTCTCCATGCGTCAAAGCCACAAAAGTGCATGCTGCGAAGGCATGTTCCCCATGGCAATGCGTCTTGGGCTTCTGGTATAGGCAAGGATGATCGGTGATCAGTTGTCACACTTCTTGCCTTGACACAAATGCACTGTTTGCTCTGGTTCGCTCTGCTGACCACCAGAGCTGATTGGGCATCATGGCTGCGCTGCACACGTTGGAGATCGTCCCAAAAACTCACAGCGCAGCTGTCCACCACCCCACCTTCATGAAGTCCCGCCAAGTCGGATCTCGCTTCTCTTCATTCGTTTCCCTGAATCAATCTGCAGAAATACTGCCAACAAGGATTTACCAAACGTGTCTGCCAGTGGTAAAATAACATTTGCATGCAGAGCAGAAACCTTGTGGCCAAAGTAATAGCAAACTTGATGACTCATAATCTGATGAAATGGCTCTTGAACATATACCAGGAATGTTGTGCTGCTACCCAATATGTGAAGATGTCCAAACCAAAAAGAATACACAAAGCTGGGCTCAAGGCGGATCAAATGCTCCAAATTTCACCTCATAACTCAAAGTATGTGTGTCATGGAATCCACAACTACGAAGTGCATGTTGTTCAAACGATGTGTCGCGTGCTGCCGATGTGCCTTGTGCATGTTCCACGACAATATCCTGTCGTGATCATCAAACTCGCACAGCAACAAGAGACAGTGGCAAGGTGGCCTTCCCTCATGGTCTGCGCTGAACAAGACTTCTGCAGCCTTGCACGCAAACACATTGTGTATGCTGCATTGTTGTTCAAGTCAATCAGGTTCTCAAGGCTTTTCAACCATTGCGGCTGCCGTAAGGCCTGGCACCAGCAAAGAACCAGCTGTGCAGTTTTGGTCTCCACGCGCCTGACCAGCCTGCGTTTCAGCGAATGTGTAAAAAGACCGCAAAACGGCACTCAAAGACAAGCTCAAAGAAGCTCTGAGAATTAAGCTTTAAGGAGTTGTCCACATCAAAGAATGACAAGGACAAATCGGAGCCTCGAAGGGTGTGGTGAATGTGACCAGTTTTGGACAAGCAAACGTCTCCTGTGGACTTCATAAACCGCTAGCATTGAGCGAGCGACAGGAAACTGCCACCCAGTTGTACCTGAACTGCATTGAAACTCTATATGTGGCACGAAAGCTTGTCGAACACGATTCCCTCTTGGCCTACATTGCAGGCTGACAAGGCAAGTGCGCGCATCTGCATGGACCATGTTTTGGGCTCTGTCACTTGTCCCGGGCTGCTTCTGCCAGCTCGACAAAGCTCTGTAAGCGTTTGCGAGCTGATCGCAAAGTTGCGACAAGATTCCAGGCCAGGTCCTAGTCAAGTTTCTTCTCACTCTTTCGCCAACGTCCAAAGCCACGTACGTCAAAATACTGTCGAAGTACTTCCCTCAGACTGTCAAATAGAGTGCAAAAAACAATGTTATACATTTAGACATTGTTTGTTGCCTTTCAAAATGCATCACGTGCGTTTCATCTTCAAGTAAACATGACTGAACCAGCTTGTCCTGCTCATCCTTTACAGCCCTTTCCGTCTCGCTGACGATGAGCTGCAATGCTCCACGGCTAAAGTCCACCGTGGCCGAATCAATCGCTCCATTCAAGCCATTGAGCTCTTGGCCTCAAGATATCACCCGCTTCCAGGATTCCAACATGCTCAAACAACAATGACAACAATAATCAGAGTAATGCTCAAGAATCACAGAACCTCTGGTAGAAGGAGGCCCATGTGGCTTTCTTGAAAACAATTATCAAACCTTTCAGATTGCGGCACTCATGCCTAAGGAGGAACCACCACCTAGCTTTACCGCGACAACTCAACTTGAAGTTCTGCCAAAAAGCCCAAAAGGACATAGGCTTGTTGCACGTCCCGGAACTTTTCATCATCCTCAACAGTGCTCTCTTGCTGTGAGAGGATGTTGAGAACCTTAGCAGCTCTCTGTCCACACTGCCTTACAGCATCCACCCGACAGAAAGCCTCAGGTGAGCAAAAAGCAAGCTAAAATCTGCCCAGGAACAGCCTTACCACGTATCCTCAAGAGGCTCTCGGAAAAGTTAGCGCCTCTTAGCTGCGTCTTCAGTTCTTCAAAGTTTCCGTCTGCAACCGTGGACTCCAGTGTCTGTAGAATGGAAGCTGTCTCTGTCAGCTCTGACAGAATTTTCCGTATATCCTGAGAGTCTGCAGATTCTGCAGTACTATAGAACTTCCCTGTCTCCCAAAAATAGCCTTTTAACTTGAGAGGGTTGAAGGACTCCTCTGCGAAGGACTCCTCGCTGGTCAAGATAAGAAGGGGAAGCACCAACTGCCGCCTGCAGGCCCTCCAATTGAAAGGAATGCTATATCCAGGTCCATACGCGGCTCCAGAAAGCCCAGTGAAAGCGGCAAATGCTACGAGGCCATGGAATTGTCTGCGAGTGCGGGAAGAACTCCCCATGGAGATGTGCAAATGCGTGTCACTTAGAGATGCTTCTGTCTCGGTTTGCGCCACCATCTACTACGCCTACTACGAGTACCAGAGCAATCTCACTGTGTTTGTGAGAGAGAGAGAGGGAGATCAAACTTGCAAGGCACTCATACATCTGGTAGCAAAAATGAGTCTAACCACGAGTTCAAGGGTCCTGCAAAAGAAGGGATGAAAGCTTGAATGTTAAAACTGCTTTCGTGAATGTTGCAGTTGCATGAAGGTGACGCCAAGTCAAATGAAAGCTTTGCAAGCCATGGTGGTGGCGCACTTCTCAACAAACTCTGCGCACAGCGGAGTCTGTGTGAAGTCTCTGATGTCCAAGTAGGGCTGCATATCAGGGCTGCACCTTCAATAGAACAAACATCTCAAGTGAAATCTCATGAAATCTAGGTCTTGTTCCTTGAAGGACAGTTCCGACCGGGTCAATGGTTCCTAGACAACACATGACACATGGATACTTCCATGAAGGTTCCTGTCCCATGGGTGATCGAAATAGCGTTTCCTTTGAGGCGCAATTTCAAGCACTTGCTGCCCTGCTCTACGAAGGCGATCTTGTCATAGCCTTTGAGATAAACAACCTGGCAGAGGTCTCGTACAGCCGCTCAAAAGGACTCAATGTAGCATCAAGCATGACAAACTTGCTGAGTCCCGTAGTACAAATAGGCCTTCTCACAGTGCGATTGGTGCCCATTGCCGTCTTTCAGAGGAGACCTGGTGTGATGAGTAGTGTTGCTTTCGAATGGTATGCATTTTAAAGAACTGGCACGTCAACAGTTGAGCTCTTAACTGGCTGAAACGGATGATGTTGTACTGTTGTGGCACATCCTGATCATCCGGAACTGTAGCCGCTCCAAAACGGAAAGCAAAAAGGATCGGATCAATTAAGCACTTTTTTGTTGTAGCTAGAAGCTACTGGTAACAAGGGCATCGCTACTAGTAACAAAGGCATTTCTACTTGCTACGTCCCAAAGAACGCCATGTCTTCTTGCCCTTTGACAGATTGCACCTCCGCCATACCTTGATCCACCAAGAAGGCAGTGAATTCCTGTCGTGCTCTCACTTGAGATCCAAAATATCCAAACGTCTTGCTTGGAAAACAATGCATTGCTGTCATCGATCGGAATCCCAACAAAATGTTATACGCAAGTTATAGTTATAAGAATCAAATTGAATCTGGTTGAATCAGGCCTCCCAAGTCATGCTTCCGTTGCAATCAACATCAATTGCATCCTTGGTCTGAGCAACTGACAAGCTCCCTGCAGAGTAATACATGCAATTGTGCTTGCAATTGTACAGAGGTGCATTGTGTTGCAGTCCGTCCAGAAATACCACGTTAAGAACAGAATCTTAGCAATCTCCCTTCCAACCTTTCTCAGTCTTTGATTTCTGCATCCGAGGCTCAAAGAGGTTGACGAGTTGGCTGATGATTTTGCGTTCCTTGGTTCGAGTCGTGCGAGTCCCGCGCAGTCCAGGTCGACCGATTTAGTCGATACTCAGCAGGGCACATCTTCATAGAGCTCGAAGAGGTCGATTAATTCAAAGACCTGCAAAGCATCTGCTCTGCAATGCCAAATTCTTACTTTCCAGGGGAGATCTCAAAGTCCGAGAGAATCATACACTGCCATAGACTTGTCATTTCTGTTAATTATTCTCAAGCCTGTTGGAATTGCCCTTTCATGATGACCACGAAGTTCTCCAGGTCAACTTCGCCCTGAAGAAAAGGTTCCAAAGGCTTTCAGAATACATTACTGTCACCTGAGCACTCCTCTGAAATTGCCTAAATACACCGCTGAACCCGGCAGCTGCATTGGCCTTTTGCTCGAATATCGCTTGCAAGGGTGTGATCTTTTCCAAGTCGATGACGCTGAGCACCTGGAGTTCTCTGCTCGGTCCCTCCCAGCAAACAACTGACACATGCCCCTCTCGGCCCCTCCCAGGTCCCTGTCAGGTCCCTCTAAGGCCAGCAGTGCCCCTAGTAGCATGCTTGCTCCTAGTAGCGATGCTAGGAGCTTTTAGGAGCTTCTTGCTCCTAGTAATTAGTAAGGCCAGGAGCGCCCCTAGTAGTGTCCTTGCTCCTAGTAGCGAAGGAGCCCCTAGGAGCTTCTTGCTCCTAGTAATCAGTAAGGCCAGGAGTGCCCCTAGTAGCATCCTTGCTCCTAGTAGCGATGCCAGGAGCCCCTAGGAGCTTCTTGCTCCTAGTACTAAGGCCAGGAGCGCCCCTAGTAGTGTCCTTGCTCCTAGTAGCGATGCCAGGAGCCCCTAGGAGCTTCTTGCTCCTAGTACTAAGGCCAGGAGCCCTAGTAGCATCCTTGCTCCTAATAGCGATGCCAGGAGCCCCTAGGAGCTTCTTGCTCCTAGTACTGAGGCCAGGAGCGCCCCTAGTAGTATCCTTGCTCCGTACTAAGGCCAGGAGCGCCCCTAGTAGCGGCCTTGCTCCTAGTAGCGAAGGAGCCCCTAGGAGCTTCTTGCTCCTAGTACTAAGGCCAGGAGCGCCCCTAGTAGTGTCCTTGCTCCTAGTAGCGAAGGAGCCCCTAGGAGCTTCTTGCTCCTAGTAATTAGTAAGGCCAGGAGCGCCCCTAGTAGTGTCCTTGCTCCTAGTAGCGAAGGAGCCCCTAGGAGC